GGGATTGGTCAGTTTTGCCAGCTTGCTGGGTATGAAATGAGCCACCCGAGCAGCAGGAAAGAGAGGAACCCGCCACCACCAAGGAAGAACGGGCAGGGGCCAGCACATCTTTTGGACCTGTGATCCCTGCACTGAGAAGTTCCGGGCCCCAGGAGACAGACAGCGAGCTGTAACCCTGAAGACAGCGAGAAGTGGTGGCAGAGACCTGGCAGCAGAGACCTGGCAGCAGGAGACGGCGTAGTGGGATTCCTGGCCCACAGAGAGAGAGAAAGCTGAGTGCTTTGGGGCAGAGACTGAGGGCCAGGGAGAGGTATGCCTGTGAGCATGGCCGGGAAGAGGCTGTCCTGATGGAAGAACAGTATCCTGAGTGTTCCCGAGCCTGAATTGTAACTGTTACTTCCCTAATAAACCCTATAATCATGAGTATTGTCTGTGAGTTCTGTGTGGCCATTGCAATGAATTATCGAACCCTGCAGAGAAGTAAAAATTACCGTGGGACGGACGGTTGGTATCAGAATTGGTAAAGATGGCAGACAGAGAAGACATGTCTGACCTCCACCTCATAGGAATCAGCCTTGGGCTGTTGGTTTTGATTCTCCTTTCCCCTTGCGAAGTTAGAGGAGGTCAGACACTGCCCCCAAGCTATTTTTACACCTTTATATAATCCTATACGGATGTGGGCAGAGCTGGTGTATTTGATGTGGTATCACTCTCATGATTAGGTTAGATTATATATTGTTGTTGTTGTTAGGTGCCACCGAGTCGGTTCCAGCTCATAGTGACCCTATGTACAACAGAATGAAACACTGTCCAGTCATGCTCCAGCCTCACAATCACTGTTATGCTTAAGCCCACTGTTGCAGCCACTGTGTCAGTCCATCTCATTGATGGTCTTCCTCTTTTTCACTGACCCTCTACTTTACTAAGCATGATGATTACTGATCCCTCCTGATAACATGTCCAAAGTATGTGAGACATAGTCTCGCCATCCTTGCTGCTAAGGAACATTCTGGTTGTACTTCTTCCAAGACAGATTTGTTCATTCTTTTAGCAGTTCATGGTATATTCAATGTTTTCCTCCAACACCACAATTCAATGGCATCAGTTCTTCTTTGGTCTTCTTTATTCATTGTCCAGTTTTCACGTGCATAAGAGGCGACTGAAAACACCATGGCTTGGGTCCAGTGCACCTAGATTATATGTATATGTATATGGCACAATTTACTTTAAGATAGAGACTTTATCTTCAGTGGGGCTGACCTAATCAGGTTAGCCCTTACAAAGGGATCAGGCTCATTCTGGCTAGAGTTATTTCAAGTATTAAAGGGACTTGAAGGAAGAGAGATACTCCATTGTTTGCTGGCTTTGCAGATGGAGAAGGCCACATGTCAAGGAATCCAGGCAGCCTGTTGGAGCTAAGAGTGGTCCTTGATTGACAGCTAGCAATGAAATAGGGACCTTAATCATATGACCTCAAAAAACTGAATTCAGCCAATAACTTGAAAGAGCTTAGGAGCAGATTCATTTCCAGAGTCTGCAAAGAGTATCGTAGTCTATCTATCACATTGATTTTATCCTCAAAAGAACTTCAGCAGAGAACCCAGCGTGCCATCCCTGAACTTCCCTCCAGAATTGTAAGCTAATATCAATGTTGTTTTCAGCTGCTAAGTTTGCAGTGTTTTGTTACACAGCAATAGGAAATAAATACATGTATAAATAGTTTAGGAGATCTAAAGCAAGGACAAATTTCAGGCAAAGGCAGAAAATATGTATTTTTCTAGAGTTGGCCCATTATAAACTAGCTGTCCATTAATATAAGTTGAAGGTTATCCAGCCAACCCTTCTTTCTTGAAGCCTTTCTTTGCATAATTCACATTCACAAGAAGATTATTCAAGAAAAGGAAAAATACAAATTGCTTTAAACGAGCCAGTTAAAGACACTCTCAAGACTGTTAGTGATCCTGGAGGTGAAAGAGTGTTGAAACTGGTAGACAACCTGAAGTTTAAGCATTAACTATAATGTGTTCTATCCCCAAGACTTTTTGAAGTCAGAAAGTCCTGAGTTGAAATCTTGCTTTTATTTACTAACTGAAAATTTATTTACTTAATTTACCTAATCTTCAGTTTCCTTGTTTTTGAATTAGTATTCTTAACTCTTAGAATAGTGAGAATAAAAAAATAAATGGGAAGCATTTATCCAAATGCCTGCTGATGGTAACCACTCAACAATTGGTAGCCGTTATTATTATTAATAGGCTCTCCCTCTGACTAATTGACCATTATTTGTGTTATTTGATCAAAGAATGTCGGTAACCATCCCCCCTCCCCCAGTTTTGATCTAGGAGAGCTGTAAAGAACAAAAAAACCACCCTTTCTGCCATTCAGAGGTGACGAAGCCCATGGAGTAGTCTCCAGTTAATCAGAATAAAAATACTTATAATACCTAGAGACAGTCAATATTGACAAATACCCTTGGGACCCTGCTAAAATTCTATATATGACATAATAGAGTTTGGTATCAGACAAGTTTGCCATAACTCCCAGGCAACAGGGATTAGTTATTCAGTTATAAAGGTTTTTATTTAAGGTCATTTTTTGTATCTCTGTGACTTAATATCCTGGTATTGACCCGGGGACAGTATTACAATGAGGGGCTTACATACACTTTAAAAGATCAAAATACACTTTAATGTTGGTAGGTTGTAAGTTGACAAGAGAAGGCCTGTCCTGACAAGCTGCTTTCTTTTTTTTTTTTTTTCTGACATATGTGACTGATTCATTTAAAAATATTTTCCATTTCTGTTATCTTTGATTAGGGTAAACAAAGTTGAAAAAAAGCTTCAATTCTGTCAAGAATTTTTGACCAGTGTCAGAGCATAAAATGACATAGACTGACAGTCCAAAAAGATATGATTTTGCATATCTTGTCATCTTAGATTATGGTACTAGAAAACATTTTTTCCAATGGTTAAAAATAACCACCATCAAAGTGCCTGAGCAATTTTCATGTGTTCTGAAAAACAATAATACTTTATCTCAAGAAGCATTGAAAGCATTGTAACTCACCCCTAACATTACAAGTCACCATGATACCATACTACTCTTTAACAATAATATTGAATAAAATATTGCTAACTTCTAATTAGTTTCCTTTTCTTATGTTATTAGTATTTCACAAGGTTGGGTAAAAAATGAAAATGATAGAAAAAGGTTCTCAAGTTTTTGAAGCCTCATGAATAAGATTTGGTTAAACATTAGGAAAAAGCTGCTTACCTTTTATTTTTAACAATTTGGTTTAACATTAGGAAAAATTTGCTTACTTTTTATTTAGATGTTTAAAGTGAAAAAAAATAAATTATTTTTCTATTTTAAACATCTGTCCTATCTGCTTCCAAATATTTCCCAGTTCAGAATTCAAGCCAACTATAAGAGAGACAATGGTGGTTAAGAGCTCAGGGTCTGGCAACTAGACTACCTGAATTTGAATCTTGGCTACACTACCTACCAACTGCATGACCTTGGACAGTTCCTTAAAGTCTCCTTACCTTAGTTCTCTCATCTGTACAAAATAATTATAATAGTATCTCCCTCATGGGGTTGCTGTGAGGATTTAAAAATTTAATAAATGTAAAATATTTAGATCTGTGCTGTGTAACCACCCACTATTATTATTATGCTTTTTATAATATACCTAGTCAGTGTAATATTGGATTGTACCAAACGAAATGAATCCATTAATATTTTCACACTGTCTCCTGCAAGAATGAATTTGGAGGTTCACTGTTGCTTGAGAAGAATGACCCAATTTTATCAAATCATCTGGCATTTATGAAAATGCAGCCCCAAGAGGGAGAGAATTAGAACATTTAAGTCCCTGACAACAGGCTACTTCACTGGCCAATCCAGATTCTTACAAAGTAGAGGTTGGCGTTTATTGCTTGATTTTCACCACTGCTAGTAGATATTCTGATTTGGTGCTATCTGGAAGTTGCTTCACATTAATGGGGGTAATTCTCCTTCTCTTTCAATAGTTACTGTAGGGTGTCCAAGAAGGATAATGGCATTTGCTTTTCCATAGAGCCCAATAATACAAATGAAATAATGATCTTAGCTTTCTTACTTGAAAAAAGTACTAGACATTATATTTTTCAATTTATATTCTTTGGCTCATTTGCCATTTACAACAGTGTTACCATACAGATACTCGTTAGTGTATCAATTTTACAGATGAGGAAACTGAGCCTCAAAGGGAGTAAGTAAATTGCCCCTTGTCATGTAGCTTGTAAGCCACAACACCAGATTCCAGCTGGGGTCAATTCTACCACAAAGATCCATTGCCCACACTGTGTGTACAGCCAGGCTGCACCTCCTCATGGAAATATTTGTTGACTGATTTCTTGAATAAATATTTTTAAAATGAAATATTTGGATGTAGGACTGTTTGGATGTGGTAGGATGACCTTGATAAGCTTTCACAGACCCTATAATTTGATGAACGTTTACCATTGGCTCCAAGACCTGATATGTCTACTTGAGTCTCTGTATTAGTTTCCTAAGGCTTCCGTAACAAAGTAGGTGGCTTTGAACAACAAGATTTTATTGCCTCACATTTTTGGAGGCTAGAAATCCAAATCAACTTGTTGGACGGGCCATGTTCCCTCCTAAGTCTCTAGGGAAAGATCCTTTCTTGTGTCTCCTAGCTTCTGATAGTCTCAGGCACTCCTGGGCTTATAAATGCATCTTTACATGGCCTTCTTTTCTTTATTTATGTCCTTTCTCGTCTTTCACAAGGACACCACTCATATTGGATTAGGACCCACCTTACTCCAGTATGATCTCACAGTAACTTAACTGATAATATTTTCAAAAACCCTATTTACAAACAAGGTCATCTTCACAGGTACTGGCTCTTCAACATAGTTTTTTGGGGTACACAATTCAATACGTTACAGTCTCTGAGTGACATCATTAATAGTGTGACCAAAATTACCCCACCATACCTCCAACGTGTGGCGGTGGACCACAGAGTAGCACCACACCTTGGCCTTCTCGGACAGACACGGTGCTTCTTGTTTTGGTTTCAAATTCTTCAATATCTTGGGGGGAAAAAAGAGAAGGTTTAGAATTAATTGTTTTGCAAAAGAAACTTTTAAAGAATAAATTTGGACTTACTTTTGATATTAAGTGTAATGGATACTCATAAAATGACCAAAGTTAGCTGAGGATCAAAATCTTATCTGTTTGTTTTTCTTTCTTTCTGTTTATATAATTAAACAGGGTATGTGATAAAGATGTTTAGTAGCATTACTCACTATCTGTTTATTCTTCTTCTTCTAGGCAGCCTGTAGTCCAACAGGTAATTTTTGAAACCTAGCTCAGGGAAGGTGTGATTAAAAAAAAAAAAAAAGGTACATATGGAGCAAGTTAGCATCTTCAATTAGTCATTGCAATTTGTTGTGTACATGGAGTCTGTACACGGAGAACTTAGATTGGAATGATGTGAGGGAAGGAGTTCTATATGACTGAACTAATGAGACAGAAGGGATATTTTCTACTTTCTCTTGATCTACTTCTTCACATAGCAATTTTATGATCTTATTTGGAATTTTGTGATTTCCTACAACATGAAAGAATTGCAGAAATTCAGAATTGAAAGAGAATTTACTAGCTATTTTGTTAAGACACCAATCTTAGGTATAAATGCTTAACTATTACTCGAAAATGGTCACATAAACTCAAAGAATGGACAAATTATTTAACTTCTCTGAGCCTCAGTTTCTTCACCTGTAAAATCCATTTACACATTCATTCAATAAATATGTATTAAACATCTACTAAAAAAGTAGGAAGGTTATTAATGTCAGAAGATACATTGGTAAATAAAACAGGCATGTACTCTTCCCTTATAGGGCTTACTATCTAGTAGGAAGACTGGAAGACTGGTTAGAAAACAATTAAAAATACATAATTTACTAACTGTTATAGTGTTCTGTCTGGAGTGGAGACTGCTACTTGTCTGCCAACATTCATTCTCTATTCTTCTATAGTAATACACTTGTAAATGAAACAAGGTTGCTAACCATTGAATACGTTTCCCAGACAACTTTGCAGCTAGGTTTGGTGTGCAGAAGTGATGAATGAAATTTCTACCTCTTAATGTTTGAAAAGAAATCTCTATAACATGTAATGTTCCCCATTCACTCACCACCCACCACCACCTGCAATACCAGTGATGAGATATCTTGGCAGCCACTTGATGAAAATGAAAGAGCCACCATTTGCTTGCGTCCTTAAATGATTACATGGAGCAGAACCACAGCTGAGCTGGAACATTCACTCTAGATCATTACATAAAAACCAAAACCAAACCCAATGCAGTCAAATCCATTGTGACTCATGGTGACCCCAGGTGTTACAGGGTAGAGCTGCTCCTTAGGGTTTTCTTGGCTGTTATTGTTAGAGAAGAAGTACACTAGGACTTTCTTCCATACTGCTGCTGAATGGGTTAGAACAGCCAACCTTTAGTTTAGTAGTTGATTGGCGAACACTTTGTGCCACCCAGGGACCTGATCATTAAATACAGATAAATAAAATTTTATCTTGTTTGAAGCATTACATTTTGGGGTCTCTTTGTTACAGCAGTTTAACATTTTACCCTATGTAATGGATAAGATTGAAGTTGTCAAGGATTTCATTTTACTTGGATCCATAATCAACACCCATGGAAGCAGCAGTCAAGAAATCAAATGACACATTGCATTGGGCAAATCTGGTGCAAAAGACCTCTTTAAAGTGTTAAAAAACAAAGATATCACTTTAAGGACTAGGGTGCACCTGACCCAAGCCATGGTGTTTTCAATTGCCTCATATGCATGCAAAAGCTGAACAATGAATAAAGAAGACTGAAGAAGAATTGATGCCTTTGAATCATGGTGTTGGCAAAGACTGTTGAATAGTCCATGGACTGCCAGAAGAACGAACAAATCTGTCTTGGAAGATGTACAGCCAGAATGTTTCTTAGAAGCAAGGATGACGAGACTTTGTCTCACCTACTTTGAACATGTTGTCAGGAGAGAGAAGGACATCATGCTTGGTAAAGTAGAGGGTCAGCGAAAAAGAGGAAGACCCTCAGGGAGATGGATTGACACAGTGGGATCAAGCATAACAGCAATTGTGAGGCTGGCGCAGGACTGGGCAATGTTTCATTCGGTTGTACATAGGGTTGCTATGAGTCAGAAACGACTCAATGGCACCTAACAACAATAACAACGGATACTGTAAAGGAAAAGACCGAGTGCAGATATGATGTATTTGAGGCAGCCATACAATAATGGTATGGAGCAAGGAAAGTATTCCTTGCAGAAAGAAAAGCTGGAGTAAAAACATAAATATGTGAAAACATAAGAGATTTTCAAGATATTGAAAGGAAGCCAGTGTAGCTAAAGCATAGTGGACAAGGAGCGAGGAGACTACAGGAGTAGGCAGGAACTGATGGGCTGTTAACATACATTTTGATTTTATCAAAAATGCCAAGGAAATACCTGGAAATGACTTGAAAATACATCAATAGAAGAAGTCGAATAAAATTTGGAATATAGAATGGAATATTATTAATGATTACAAAGGATGTTTTAAATCTAACGGGACTGACTTGACAAGGTGTTAAAAACATACAATTAAATTTTTTAAAAAGTTGCTAAATATTAGTATGACATTATACCATTATGGAAGAAAAATTTTAAAAAACTAGCTATGAGCATCTCTTAAAATTCATCTAGATAAAGATGGTTAGCACAGTGGAGTGGATTGAAAGGTAGAAGTAGACATTATTAAGCTTCTTATTTACATGTCTCTTTATCTTTTAAATCCTATATGTTATAGAGATATAAAGATTATATATTGTGTATTTTTTTTAGGTTTGCTTAATTTTAACAGTCTTACTGAGTTATAATCAAAGTAAAAATTATTGGTTGATTTAGGGGAAATCAAGAGTCCTAATAAAGGGTATCTCAAGTTTGTGTTATCAATGAAGTATCTAAGAGACAATATCATGTAGGCTATGAAACATATAAGTCTTGAAATCAGAGAAGAAGCAAGGTCAAGAATGAGAAGACTGGGGTTTATCAGTGCATAGATAATATTTAAAGCCGTAGGATGACTCCCAAGTACATTGGCATGAGCAACTTGGTAGGCAGTGGTCCAGAATGACACACTGATACTTTCCAATATTTATTGGTAGACCAGAGAACCACACTTTGGATATGCCATCAGAAAATACCAATCACTAGAAAAGGACATCACATTTGGTAAAGTAGAGGGTCAGTGAAAATTAAGGAAACTGCCAATGAGATGCACTGTCGCAATAGCCACAATAATGAACTCAGGCATATCAACAATCATGAAGATGGCACAGGACTGGGCTATGTTTCATTCTGTTATACATAAGGTCATGAAGAGTTGGTGCCAACTTGATGGCAACTAACAACAACAAAAAAAAAAACCCGCAGAGATAAAGAAAGGAAGGAAGGATCAAAGACAGAGAGAGAGAAAGAAAGAAAAAAGAGAGAATGTAGAATGCAACTAAAAGGTGAAATAGAACAAGGACAGAAAAGTGATGTTGTATTTAGAAGCATGGGTCACATGTGATCTTAACCAGAGAAGTTTCAGTAGAGTTATGGGGAAGAAGCAAAAATGAATTGAAGAATAAAGAGTAGATTAAGATGTGGAGACCAGAGGCATACAAACTCTTTATAGTTCACTATGAATGGGCGATGGGATTTAGGGAGAAAATGGAAAAGGGTTAGAGGGTAAAGGGTGATATGCTAATGGAAATGATCAACAAAAAAAAAAAAAGAAAGAGGTTGATGATTTAGGACCTAGGTTAGAATGAAGTCCTTGTAATCCCAGGGTGGGAATTGGAGCCCACATGGAAGGATGGGCCTTCATAAGGAGAGAGGGATCTTTCCCTCAACAGGAGTGAAGAGACAAAAGATATGCCTGCTGATACAAGAAGGACTTCAGATTTCTGGATGGTTAGATGAGAACTTTTTTTGTGGTGGTTTCAAAATTCTCACTGTAATTGATGGGAAAGGATTGGATAGGTGGTTTAAGCGAATAGAAGATGAAATAAGCTTATCTGTTTAGCAGGTAACTAACAACAGTAAGAGAACCGCAGAGATGAAGGAAGGAAAGAAAGAAAGGAAGAAGGAAGGAAGGAAGAGCAAGAAATGTTGGAAGGAAGGAAGTAGAGAAAGAAACAAGTGAGGTTTAAATAAAATAATGAATGTAAAGTGTCTAGAAGACAACCTGGAAGAGAGTAGGTACTCAATTTATGGTAATTATTATAATTATGATATTCCAATGTGACGATGGCATAACATTAGATTTTCTTCTGGCTGATATAAAGCTCAGATACACTAATCTATAAATACAAGTTTAATAGCACATTCTAGTTCCAATAAAATTTTTTGTAGGTGAATGATTCAATTTGAAGCAGTTTTTTATGTCTACTAATTGCATGGCTTTCCAAATATGCATTCTTTTTTACACTTGGCTTTAATATCCATGAAAAGGAAACGAGTTCACTGAAATAAATGTACTGGATCTGATATATAAATTTAACAACTCTGCACGGTTTGGATCCCCAACCACTGCGCCTCATGTGCAGCCACCAACCCTCCGTTAGTGGTAGTTGCTGTGTTGCTATGATGTTGAACAGGTTTCAGTGGTGCTTGCAGACTAAGACAAACTAGGAAGAAAGGCCTGGAGATCTACTTCTGAAAATCAGTCAAAGAAAACCCTATGAATCACGGTGGTTTGATCCGCATCTGATTACGGGGATGGTACAGGACCAAGCAGGGTTTTGTTTCATTGTGCATGGGGTCGCCGTAAGTAGAGAGCTAACTCAAAGGCAACTAACAACAACAACATATACACTCTATTTTTAATCATAAAATTATTTGACCAAGATGGACTCTACTTATCCTCAGCTACACTCCCTTCCCTTCCTCCACCTGCTCTTGATCAGCAGTCATTAGATATATATTAATTTAGAACCAGGATGCCTTAATGCCTCTGGTAGACAATTTGTAATCAA